TCAGGGAATATTTTGTGCTGTGTTCATAATCTGTGGTCCCTTAATTTCCTTGTCCATCTCCTCAAAAAATCTTCCTTCCTTCTATATATGCATCAACCAGAGATCCTTACCACCAGAAGCTCCGCCATAGCAACGAGGTTCTTCTTCTTCTTCTTCTTCTTCTTCTCACGACCACCAAAATGATGACGAAGCAGTCCGACCAAGCAGATGGGTGTTCCTCTGAGAGCTGGTTGGACGATGCTTGCATTCTCGACATCGACTTCTTCGTGAAAACTCTCTCAGGCATTAAATCAAAAGGCGTGTGTGCAGACCTAATCGGCTCCGTTATCACTCACTACGCCTCCAAATGGCTCCCTGAACTCTCTTCAATCGACGTCGCAGAACGAAGCCTCACCCAATTCCAGGAATCCCCCGAAAGCGTCGCCGTTTCGTGGATGAAGAAGCGCTTCTTCGTCGAAACCCTGGTGGGCGTTCTGCCTCCAGAGAAAAACTCGATCCCCTGTAATTTCCTGCTTCGCCTTCTCAGAACAGCCAACATGATCGGCGTTGAGGCCGCATTCAGATCGGAGCTTGAGAAGAAGATTTCGCGGCAGCTGGATGAGGCTTTGTTGAAGGAGCTAATGATTCCTTCTTTCAATCACACCTGCGGGACATTATTGGATGTAGAGCTCGTGATTAGGTTGGTGAATGAGTTCCTGAGTTTGAATGGCGAGGGAGCGAAGAGCGGTGCTGCTTTGCTTAAGGTAGCTAAGTTAGTGGATTCGTACCTCGCCGAGGCAGCCATTGATGCCAATTTGAGCCTGTCTGAGTTCGTTGCGCTCGCCGGAGCTCTTCCTCCTCATGCAAGAACTACAGACGATGGCTTGTACAGAGCCATTGACACTTACCTCAAAGTATGTGACATGCGTTTAATTATGTTAGTCAGAGTGCTTCATTATGGATCGAGTTAACTATCCACCTATCAATCTACTGTTAATTAATATACAAAATCAAAGCCACCTGATACAATTAATTAGGAATCCAGGAAAGTGACAGTGATTTTGTTGAAGGCGCATACAGGGGTATCGAAGCAAGCAAGGAAGAGATTGTGCAGGCTGATAGATAGCAGCAAACTCACGCGGGAGGCGTCTCTTCATGCGGCTCAAAACGAACGCTTGCCGGTCCGAGCAGTGTTGCAGGTCCTCTTCTCCGAGCAAACCAAACTGAACCACCATCGGTTGGAGCCGGCGAGGTGCGTGTCGAGGCGAGAAATGGTGGGAAACCAAGGGAAGGAGATAAAGAAGCTGAAGGAAGAGGTGGTGAGGCTGCAAAGCCAATGCAATGCGATGCAGGCGCAGATGGAGAAGATGACGGAGAAGAGGAAGCTGGGGTTCTTCTGGTGGAAGAAGCCTGCAATAATGGCCACCTCTACTGCCAGAGGCGGCGGGAGTAGGAGTGTTGAGATGAATAGCACAGAAGATGAAAATGATGACAATGGGACTGTGGGGCTCCAGGCACAAACGCCTATGCACGTAAGGACGAGACTGCTCAAGGCTAAGGCTCATCATCCTAAGTGGAGGAGATCCATGTCTTGAATCATCGGTGTAGAAAGAGGGCAAGAGTCATAATATTTATATATATATATATATATATATATATATATAAGCAAATAAGTGCAGGCTTATAGTACTGACTACTGAGGATCGTTATAATAATTAATAAGGTCGTGTCTTTTTTTTTTTAATTCAATTAAGAGTGAGTCAAATTAACTATTCTTCATGTACTAAATATAAATTATATTATAAATTAATTCTTATATTTAAAATAAAAAAGTAATATAATAGTGTACGTAGTTTGGTTTTACACTTAAAACGTGCCTTTTAGATATTAATAATTAAAATTAATGATTCATAAAAAATATATTTTTTGTTATAATTTTATATCATAAAATAAATTTTATATTTAAGATAAAGAGAGTAACATTTTATTTTTAGGAATTCATTTTTACATGTTACATGTTACTGCTAATTTGCAACTGTGATGTGATGACGAAGATATCGAACCGTGGGTGCAAGTGGGGTCTGGTGTGTCTGTATATTCCCTTCCTTCTCGAATGTAAACATTATTACTGCTTCCGGAACCAATTATAATAACTAGTTGATTAATTTAAGAAGATCAAGAAAATAAATTAAGTTAGTTATTTGTAATAAATAGATATTGTTTTTTTAAAATATCTTTACTAATCAAGTATATTGGATAGAACTATTATTATTAGAAAAACTATCTTATGAAAAAATACATAAATATTAGAAACATAATAAATTGAGATCTTATATTTAAAATAAAAATAAAAATAAAATAAAATCTTATACTAGAGACAGAAGGTAGTAGAACTTAGACATAGTTGGTATCTAAAAATATATCCTCCCCCTCCGCCAGTTGAAGTAGAAGTACCCTTTAAATTTAACTTTTTTTAAATGGTTTGATATTTCTTAATACAAGATGTTCTGAAGCAAATAATAATTTCTCAATGACCTTATTCTAAAAACACCTTTCATTAATTAAGTGTGAGTCAATTAGAGATTACTGGTAAATGAAACGAATTTCTTGAAAACAATTTTATAAAATGTCAATTTTATTCAAACTCAAATAAAAAAATCACATAAAAAAAACTCGCCAGCAACACTCAGTCAATTTGAACAAAATTCAAATGAACTAAGAGGGTGTTTGGCAATTTCAAAAAAAGTGCTTTTCCACCCTTAGTTTGTTCCAAAACCATAATTTCACGAAAAGCAAAAAAAAAATATTTGCTTTTTGAAAATGTGGTCCTTTTTTTTCACATCGTAATACTACTTCTAATTATTAATATAAAAGTTAGGTAACTAATTTGAGTAGATTAAAAAAATTAGTTAAGTTAACTATTTGTAATAAATAGGTATTGTCTTTCTTAAAATATCCTTTCTAATCATGTGTATTTGCTAGAAGTACCATTTGATGAAATATTTAACATGTATAATTACTACAAGGACTACTTTAAAAAAATAGATAAATATAATAAATAAAATGGATTGGAGTTTTATATTTAAGACCAAATTGAATATCAAAATAGCTCTTATATTAAAAATAAGAGTTAGTATATTGTTAAAAAAAAACCTAATTGTGAAAAAATATTATGGGATTTCATATTTAAAATTTTTAAGGTAAAATAATATTTTTCTGTTGACAAAAAAAATTATTTTTTTAAAAACATATTAATCTTATTTTATAAATACATATATACATACTAATTATTTATTAATTACGTTTTTATATATTATTTATTGTGTTAAAAAAATATACTATTAAAAATTTATTACTTCAAATAAAAATATATTATAAAATCTATCTTTTATGTAATCATTATATTAACTTATGCTCTTTTTAGTAATTTACACATATAAAAAGTGCTTCTGATAACAATTATCCAAATATTCTCATTTTATCAAAATCTATTTTTTTAAAAATCTCTTCTCCAAAAGCTATTCTTTAAATCATAGTTTGGTTTCATCTAAATATCCCCTGAAACAGAAAGCCAACCCAACACAATAGAAATAAGAATAAAAATAAGAAGGTAAAAAAGACCAAAGATAAAAATAAAAGGATTCATTGGTCTTCACAATTTACACCAAAAATGCCTTGTGAATCGAAACGTAATACTGGTCAAAATCACCAATATTTACTTCCAAGGGAAAATTAAGGGGTACAATGACAACATTAGTGAAAGATGACGTTAATTTTTCATGGAACTCTGCGTCATTCCTTACTGCTCCGGTCCTGTGTATAAAATAAAGAAAAATATATTTTTAATATGTTTATAAGACATTTTATTAAATTTTTAGTATGAATATATTATTTTATTTTTTATTTATTATAGTGTAAATAATTTTTTTAAAAAGTGTATATAATAAATGAAAATAAAATTAAAAATTTATTATATTTTAATAAAAAATTAATGTATTTTAAAAAAAAATTTATTCATATAAAATATATTAAAAGTATTCTATAAATACCATCAGGAGTATACATTTGATAACCCGGATCAGTGTCGAGGGGATAAATGAAGTTAGAGGGCGTGAAAAGTAACAGAAACCCATGAAGCAGACACAAACGTGATGTAAGCAGACAAGGATCTTTGATTTGAGACGCACCTAAAGGTCAAGGGGGATCAGCTCAATGGCTCCCACTCAGATTTGAACTTCCGTTACGCTTCTAATTTCTCAATGGCTAACTCCATCTAACTTTCTACTTACATGTCAAATGGGAATCAACTATAATAGTTAACACTTAAATAAATTAACCACCTTATCACTTATCAGGAACATCAAATTTAATAATCTTGTACAAAAAAGGCTGACCATAATTTTCTTTCTTTTTTCTTTTACTTACAATTCCCTGCTCAATATCTATCATAATTGCACACAAGGGACCGCACCTGTTGAACCCAGTAAATGAAAATTAAAAAAGAAACCCTCAAAATCAACATAAATTATTGTTAACAGTGTGCAGATCTCTAACAGTGAACTAAAAGTCTCAAAATTATTCTGTACTGTGACCAGTGGACTCGAATTGAAAGGTGAAGATTGATAGGATGATTGCTTCTTCGTTAGCTCATGGCTGGCCTTTCTTTAGATGCCCTATCATTTGAGTGCTTCGAATATAAATATTAGAATCTAAATTTTACTCTCACTGAGGTTGACAAAAACTAATTATTAATTCATGCGTCACCCTCCTTTTATCTCAAAAGTCAAAAGCATTGGTTCTTCACTTCGCTTTTTGGTATTTCAACTTTCATCCGTTCATATAGTTCTCATCCCATGCCAACTTGGGATGGGAAAAAAAATAAATAAATAATGGCACTTGGCACCACCCAATAAACAAACCTGAAAGCAAAAACCATTTGGCTGGAAAATCAAAACCAACATTAAAAAAAAAAAAAAGATATTTAAGTGAATTAAAAGTTAAAACCCATCTGTGCCTCGCGTATCGTAATCACCATCATGCTTGCCTAATTGGCTTGGCTTGCTCGCTTGATTTATTAACCATTATCAATCATTATTGATATATAATATGCGAGTGTTTGGATTTCGAGGAAATCAACCAGAGATTCCGCCACCATCTTCTCCGCCACACTATGGCGGGACACTCTGTCTCCGATGATCATCCAACCGTCACTACTCCTCTACTACGCAACCGGTGGCCGCGCCCTCGCCTACCGGATTCCATCAAGCTTAAAACTTCACTCTGGTCGGAGCTCTCTGGGGCCGTCGGCGATCTCGGCACGTACATCCCAATCGTTCTGGCCCTTGCTTTGGTGAACAACCTGGACCTCACAACTACCCTCGTCTTCACCTCTCTCTATAATATCGCCACCGGTTTGCTCTTCGGGCTTCCCATGCCGGTCCAGCCCATGAAGTCCATCGCTGCGGTCGCCATCTCTGAATCGCCTCCCCTCACTATCCCCCAAATAGCTGCCGCCGGCCTGTCTGTCGCCGCTGTTCTCCTCCTCCTTGGCTGCACCGGCCTCATGACCTTCCTCTATCGTTACCTCCCCCTCCCCGTAGTTCGCGGCATCCAACTCTCCCAAGGTCTCAAGTTCGCTTTCTCCGCCGTCAAATACATTCGTTACTATCAAGACATCTCCGCCTCCAAATCCGGTCCTCCTCGTTCCTGGCTAGGCTTCGACGGCCTCATCATCGCTCTCTCCGCCGTTCTGTTTCTCATCCTAACCACTGGCGCCGGGGTCGATGATCACAGCGAAACAATGAATCTCAGCCAGGAAGAAGAAAACGAAACTCAACCCGACCCGAAGCTCAAGATTCGAAGGAGATTGCGGGTTTTATCAGCAATTCCAGCTGCTCTCATAGTGTTCTTATTCGGCTTGATCCTCTGTTTTATCCGTGACCCTTCTATAATCAAGGATTTGAGATTCGGTCCATCGAGGATTTCCGTAATACACTTCACGTGGGAGGATTGGAAAATAGGGTTTCTCCGGGGAGCGATTCCGCAGATTCCACTATCAATTTTAAACTCAGTAATAGCAGTATGTAAACTCTCAGGCGATCTGTTCCCCGAAAAAGAAGCTTCGGCGATGAAAGTTTCGGTGAGCGTCGGGATGATGAACTTCGTGGGTTGCTGGTTCGGCGCCATGCCTTGCTGCCACGGAGCTGGTGGGTTGGCCGGTCAGTATCGATTTGGGGGAAGAAGCGGAGCTTCAGTGGTATTTCTGGGGATCGCGAAATTGGTGCTTGCTCTGGTTCTGGGGAACTCATTCGTTAGGATTCTGAACGAATTCCCGATAGGAATCCTTGGGGTACTCCTGTTATTCGCAGGGATTGAACTGGCCATGGCTTCTAAGGACATGAACACGAAGCAAGAATCGTTTGTGATGTTGGTTTGTGCTGCAGTTTCTCTCACGGGCTCAGGTGCTGCTCTAGGGTTTGGATGTGGCATGGTGCTGTATCTGGTTTTGAAATTGAGGGAATTTGACTGGTCTTCCGCTTCAAACAAATCCAAATCTTCTGAGGAAGAAGGAAGCAGCTCCATTGCCTGAGACAAATCCTGTTCTTGCTTCACTTTTTGCTGCAACTATGGGGTTATGTCCCTTTGAAAGGATCACACACAAACACCATGTGATCTTGTGGCAGCTTCCATTTTCTAAACCTTGCTTCCTTTTTCACAAGCCTCTCAAGCATCCTTTCCTCTACTTAACCTTGCGTATTGTGTATTGTAAATTATACATATAATCAGAGTAACATAGCATCTAATTGTATTTATTATTTATATAACCTTTGTGCATGAGTTAGTGAGCCCCAGAGCGTGCTTTATGTGTTGGTTCAAAATTTTCTACCGTCTCCCGTACTTAATATAATACTACTTGCTACTTGCTGTCTTTAATATAAGATTTTATTTGATTTTTATTTTGATTCTAAATGTAAGATCCTAATCCATTTTATTTCTCATATTTATGTATTTTTTTCTAAGATAGTCTTTCTAATAATGGTAGTTTTAACCAATACACTTGATTAGCAAAGATATTTTAAGAAAGACAATATTTATTTATTAAAAATAACTAAATTAACTTATTTTCTTAATCTCCTTAAATTAGTCAACTAGTTCTTATAATTAGGACTAGAGGTAGTAGTTAGTTTAATTAATTCGATTATATTAAGAAAATTAGTTGAGTTAGTTATTTATAATAATATAGTGTTGTCTTTTCTAAAATATTATTGCTAATCATATACATTAATTAGGATTACTATCTGATGAAACTTTTAACATGTGTAATTATTGCAAATATTATTTTAAAAAATGGATAAATATTAGAAATAAAGTGAATTAGAATCTTATATTTATAATCAAATTAAAAGTTAAATTAATTCTTATATTAGAAAAAGCTGGTAGTATTCGTTTTCTTGGCTCGGATCTTCTTAAATTTCATTGTATGTTATATGCGCCTAGCAAACAAAAGAAAGGCACATGGATGAGAAGACTTGAAGCCATTCAAACGAACAAATGGTATTGAAAAATAGCAGTACAAGCTAAACTAAAATTAAATTTTATATTTAGGAGAGGGAGGCACTAATATGATAATACTGTTTTACAAAAAAAAACACATCTTATATTTGACACAAATACAGTACAAATTTTGTGATCGTTTGCACCTATAAATTGGTGAAAACTATGTTCAATAACCTATGCAAATAAACTACTACGCATAGCATACTACTTTCTTGCTATTTACAAGATATTTGATAATATTTTTAAATTTTATTAATTTTTTAAGATTTAATAATTTTAACTTTAATAATATATTTTTTGAAAAATGAAATATTTACAATAATAATAATAAATGAGTGATAATATATTCATATATAGAATTAATAATATGACTAAATAAATATGATTAAAAAAGTACCTCGCCCAGAACTTATACCGGGATTAGGGTGTCTACGACCCAAACATCTTCATGATTCATCAACGGAGCCTGGAATTATCCTTTGCTTGTGATTGAAGTGTTGAACTTAGCTTGGCATGACGTGTCTAAATGAGTCAAAACTCAACTCACTCTTTCACCTGTACAGTTGAATTCTTTTTCTCATTTTTCTTCATCTAAAAAATCGCTTGGCATGACGTGTCTAAATGAGTCAAACCGAGTTGCACCTCACCTCGTTCAAAAAGAAATTAGCAAAAACTTTAAATAAAAAAAAACAATTTCAGTTATTGGAAAAAACAATAATTATCACCGTCTAAAATCTTTTTTTATTTGCATCATGAGTGTTCTTTATTTTTTGGCCAGAGCATCATGAGTATTCTTGCTTCTTAGTCTATACTGACAACAAAGATTAAGGGGGTGTTTGGATGAAACTAAATTATAGTTTAGAGAATAACTTTTGGAGAATAGATTTCGTGAAAAAGTAATTCTGATAAAGTGAGAGTGTTTGGATAGTTATTATCAAAAACACTTTTTATATGTACAAATTACTAAAAAAGGCATAAGTTAATATGATAATTACATAAAAGATAGATTTTATAATATATTTTAATTTGAAGGAATAAAATTGTTAATAATATATTTTTTGCCAACATAATTAATAATCTATAAGATAATATAATTAATAAATAATTAATATATGTATATATATTTATAAAATATAAGATTAAACGTGTTTATAAAAAAATATTAAGGGTATTAAAGTCATATTATCATTGAGATTTACTTTAACAGTACAATCATATTCTCTAATTTAAGTCAAAAGCAGAATGGATTCACTTCTTCTGAAACTATGATTTTGAGTCCAAAACCATTGTTTTTGTTTTTTCTTCACTATTTGGTAATTTTTTTTGCCCAAACCCCAAACAGACCCTAAATTTCTTTAAGATCTAGAACTGGGAGGTAAAAAAGCAAATATTCCCTAACTAAATTCTCTCTATATTCACAAGAACCGGAAATTAAACTCATAGCCACTTGTTTTAAAGTGGAAATAGAGTCTATGTTGCTTAAAAGTTAAAATAACGTTTAAAATTATGATTACTTAACAATTATGCATTATTTTTTAATAATATTAATAAAAAAGTAAATTAAATTTTCTTAAAAATTAAATGATTGGAATCATAAAAATCTTAACAACCATCATAATTTCAATTATATGAGATGCGTCAATAAAAATACATCTGATAAAATGAATCAATATATTTTTTCGGTAAAAAAATCAATATATATAAAACTTAAAAATAAAACACACACACACAAACAAAAACAAACAGTGGGTTGGGCTAGACACAACCTTTGTACATTCTTTGGTATAATCAAGCCCAATAGGCATGGCTAGTGCAGCTTTCCATAATCTTACCCCTTGTTTATTATTATTATTATTATTATTATTATTTTAATAATTAATTCCTCACAATGTCACGAAGAGAGAGGTGCCCAGGAACTAACACAGAGTCACACACCCATAATATTTATATGAAGGGTTGAATATGCAATTTTATCATAAAGTAAGTCATAAAAAGGTGGTTAATGTCAAATGGGTCAAACCACCCGAGTTTTTATCATTTCATATTATCTTCCGTTCTTATTATAAAAATAATTTGATATTTAATTTGGTTTGAAATATAAGATCCTAATTTATTTTGTCTTTTATATTTATTCATTTTTTTAAATAGTTCTTGTAGTAGTTACACATGTTAAATGTTCAATCAAATGACATTCTAACTAATATATATGACTACCAATAATATTTTAAAAAAACAATACTTAATTATTACAAATACTAATTCAACAAACTTACTTAATTTAATTAAATTAGTCAGCTGGTTCTTATATTAAGGACTAGAAGTAGTATCATATTTTGATAGATTTTTTTTTGTGCTACTAGTTTGATAGATTTTATATTACATGTTATTGTATATTGAGATTGATGAGGTATTAATTATGGTTTTTACGTATGTTTTCATTTCAATAAATATTAGATTAGAATTGTCCACAAAAAATATGTCAAAGACCTCTCTTGTCGGTTGGAAGTTGAAACATCGTAGTTGGCCAACAAAAAACCAAAAAAAAAAAAGAAGTTGAAACATCATAGATGCCATCTCTGCTAAAAAATCCCCTTGATCGCTCGTCCACCTACTTGGTGCCTCTCCCACGCGCGCCCCAGGACGCTGCAAAGACATCATGTCCTTCAGCCATAAGCGCACAATTAAGAATTCTTTCAATTTTCTTCAATCCATTCATTTGTCAATTGAAATAAATATTTTCAAAAATTAATTTGAATGGCTTAACCAATAAAGTTTCAAGCAGATTATTTAATTTCTTTTCAATTCTTTAATTTTTTAACTGAAGATATTTATATACTTAAGTCAATTTGTATATAATATTAACAATCTCAAAATAATAGTAATACTTTAATTTCTCTTTTTATTATTTTTATATTTTACATAATTTATAAGCTCCATCTGTGTCTCTCCCCTTGTTTCCAAGATTTGTAAATAAACTAGCTCATTGGCCTTTTAAACTTAAACACTGCGATAGTGGAACCGGAAAGGAATGTGTCTTTTTTTTTTTTTTTTTTTCCAGGAAATTCTAACAACCATCTTCTTTAGCTATTACTCCTCCGGTCCTAATTATAAGACCCAATTGACTTATTTGAGGAGATTAAGGAAGTAAGTTAAGTTGGTTATTTAATAAATAAGTGTTGTCATTCCTAAAATATCCTTGCTAATTAAGTATATTGACTAAAACTATCATTATTAGAAGGATTATCTTGGAAAAAAATGTATAAATATAAGAGAGAAAATGGATTGGGTCTTATAATTAGGACCAAATAAAAAGTCAAATTGGGTCTTATAATAAGGACCGGAGGAGTATTTTATATGATGATATGATAGTTGTTAAGATGGTATAAAATGTAGCTTAAGACCTAATTTACTAATATCTTTGTTATATATTTATATATTTTTTACAAAAAAAATTCTAAATTCTATTTTTTAAAATTGAAAAATATGGAAATTATTCACAAAAAATCATGAATATTGGGAGAAAGATACAACATTCTTATCCATTGGCTTTGCATGACGATGAGGCTAAAATTATTGTAAACCAGTTTGATTTCATGTGAATGAGTGTGTATATTTAAAGTCAAAAGATTAAATAAAATTATATATGTTATTCTCTCTGTCTTTTTTTATAAGCAACTTTAGATTCTGTTACATAGATCAAAAGGTTAGTTAAAGACAATAAATAGATAGAAATTAAATTTTTTTTAAATGTCCTTACTTATGGGTGTGAGAGAGTATAAGAAAGATAATAAGAAAATTATTACTCCCTTCGGTCCTATGTATAAGCTTTATTTTTGGAGAGAATTCTGATTCAAAATATAAACTTCATTTTTGAATTTGTCTGAGTATTTATTACTTTTTTATTTATTTTTTCTTTATTGACTGTATTTAGTACTCCCTCTCCCCTTATTAACATTATCTTCATATATCCTCTTTCATCACTTTTTTTTTTGTTGTCTCTTTTATTTATTCTCTAATAAATAAGGGCAAATTTTAAAAAATATTTATGACTTATTTATTATTTTTAACTAATTTTAATTACTAGTTTGTTCAATATGATTCGGCTATTTGCATTTTGAAGCTTATATAAAGGATCGAAGGGAATAAAACGATTATGGAAGAGAGAGAATGTGTAATGAAAGGAGATAATAATTTGAAAAATGAAATAATAAATATATTAAGTATTAAAATAAGTAATTAATAGGATAAAATAGGAAATTTGTAACAAAAATTTAAAACAATCTGCAAATGTTATTTATATTTAGGAACAAGAGAGAATGATAGTTGTTATTTATCCAAAAAGACCAAGGGAGTTTTTGCTTTTTATTAAATGAAGATTATAACTCTTTAGACAAAAACATTACTGAAATTTTTTCTGGTTGGCCAACGATTAGGGCTCAATTATGTGTAAACTTTGTTTTACTTGTTAGTTGAGTTTAATTAGTTTGTTGAGGAATTCTTATATGCACTGAGAGTGCCACGTAACTTGTGCTCTGACTAATAGAAATCCTCCAAATCACACCGTGGGGCCATGCTTGTTGCAGTCTTTTATGGATCTTTTTTGCGCACTTTCTCCTTTGTCTCTCAACTTTCCCTCTTTCTTTTTTAATTTAATTTTCTCTCTCTTCCTGGTAAAACTTTTCCTACCACTTTAAGTTTTATCTCTATATCTTATTTTTGCATCACTCACTCACCTTCTTTCTTTTATTTTTAATTTTATTTACTCTATAATTTAAGTAATAGCACGTCGTTTGAAGCTTTAAATGGAGTTATAAAGTAGCATTACTAAAAACATTGAAATGGTTCGTTTACCTTTTATCAAAATATAATTGTTTCAGCAATTTAAAAAAAAAGAAAAAAGAAAATACTTATATAACATAAGCTATCATCCGTAAATATCAATAAAGCAGCAAAACAGGTTTGACAATTCACTTTTTTGGTACAGGAAGGATTACTTTGTTTGATTAAAACATTAATGCACCAACAATCTCACGAAAAAATGAAGAAAAACAAAAATACTTTTATAAACACAAATTATTATAAGCAAATGTTTGTCATTGAAGTTAAAAAAAGGCCTAACTAGATATTTTATTTAGTTTGATTCCTTTTATCAAAGTCTGCTTCTAATTTTCACATGTCCTTTTTTAGTCAAATAGTTTTCACATATCAACATAAAATAAACCATAAAAAAGAAGGGAATTTTAAAAAGTTGAGAAAGAAGTTAAAGGTTGAGTTGTAAAATACTACTCCAATCCTTGATATAAGAGCTAGTTAACTAATTTAAATAGATTAAAAAAACTAGTTAAATTAACTATTTGTAATAAAAGTCAAATGAGCTTTTATATTAAACACCAGAAGTAGTATGAATTATGTAACCAAAATATTTTAAATTTAAATCTTTATATAATTATTTTAGAATTTTTGATTTGGGAAAGCAACACTATTATTTACATGAGAGATTAAATAAAATTTAAAAAGAAGAGATAGACAGAGGGACGGGGAGTGTGTGAGGGCATACGAAAATAAAATGAAGAGACAAAATTTAAAGTGGGTGGAAGAAGTTTTATTGGGAAGAGAGAGAAAATTAAATCAATAGACAAAAAGAGTGGGGGAGAGCGGCTAGAAGAAAGAGGGCGCGTGTAAAAGGAAAGAAGATGTATAAAAGACTGCAACAAACATGGGTCCCACCATGTGATTTGGAGGATTTCTACTAGATAAAGCACAAGTTACGTGGCACTCCCAGGACATGTAAGAATTCCTCTTAGTTTGTTTTACTTGTTCGTTGAGTTTAATTAGTTATTGTGCTTTTTTTTTTTTTTTTTCCCATTGCATAGGTCTGTCGAGTCATCGACACGCGCCCAGGTGGTGAGGGAAGAAACCAAATGAACCCCAGCAAGACTTAATTTTCATTAGGTTACAACTTGCAAGACCCACCAAAATAGCAATGGATCACGTCTCGACAAGTCTTCAACTTCACTCCAAGTCCCCTCTGGCTCCAACCAAGTTTGCTTGCTGTCTTTCTCTATTGTAAGTTTGTAACATTCTCAAGTCCAGATCTTACAGACTGGGTTCGGTTATTAAATCAATTACTCGACAATTGGGATTTGGTAGTTTCTGTGATCTGAATCTGATTGAGGTTCGTCTTTCTATCTGTGCTCTCTACGAGCTTCCATTCATCATCGCTGACTAGAAGTTTGAGCTTATGTTTTCTATAATCGTTTCCTCAATTAATCTTGTTCTATGATATGCGCTTGAATTTTTGGTAGCTGCATGCACATATTCAGCGGTAGTGGATGTAATGAAGCAAAATTTTATATAGAAATTTCGGGGGAGGGGAAAGGAAAGAAGTAACTGGAAGTTCGTGTTTTTCTGATATTCTAAATAAAGTAATTGAATTTTGTCTGCCGGAATCATGAAGATTCTGTTTTCTGCTATTGCTCTTTGGTCTGTTTGTGTTCTATTGGTCATTGGAGTTACGGATTCATATCTCCCTGAGGCCGAGTTTCGGTTTGAAAGGAGTTCTCATCCAACATATAATTATGACCGGATTGATGAAGTTCGGAGGCAATGTGCCCCAGTCTTATCTTCTGCCTCTGAATTGAGATCTGGATATGATGTGGTTGATGGTATGAAACAAGATCTTTCCTTTGTCAATGGCGATTGGAGCCAAGATGGGGGTAAGTTTCCCATAATGCCATTTGATGCGGGGAAATTTTCTGGGACCTTGCCATCTGAAGACCGGACTCCATTGAAGTTAGTCTCTTTTTGGGTAACAGACATTGATCATACGCATAGAATGAAAAAGTCAATTCCTGTCAATGGATTCTTGATAATGGGCATTACTAGAGATGGTTCTTTTGTGGATAATGCCTATGGTGGAAATGCTGATTACCAGCTATGGCCTGGCCATTCTCAGCTTTCAATTCCCTTTCAAGGGTTTTACACTGAGTCGAAGAAAAATGGTGGGGAGAGGGTGTTATGTTTATTAGGGGACACAATGCTTCCAACTCGAGAGACTGATCCTGCCAATCCATGGGGATGGATGAAGACTTCTGGTAAAAATAATGATGAAATGCCTCTGTCAGAAGATGATCAAATCATCTTAGTTCTTCACTACCCCATGACATTCACATTAACTAACAGGGTTATCAGCGGAGAGTTGAGAAGTTTAAATCGCGAATCAAATACTAAATACTTTGATGTGGTTCACATAACATCACAATTGGGCAGGTCAGCAAAGTATTCATTTGGCGCAAAAGATATTGTATCTAAAGCATGTAATCCATACCCATACAAGGATAACCTGACAACTGATGGCATCAGTGTCTATAAAGGCTTAAGATTTTGTCAAATTCTTGAAGAAATCACCAGGGGCCAACCGTTATCTGTTGTGCCAAACTGGAGATGCAATGGGAAAGATAATTTCTGCAGTAAATTAGGCCCCTTTTTGTCAGATAAGGGAATCAAATCAACAGATGGAAGCTTTAAAGATGTTAAAATTTACATGCAGAATGTTATCTGTGAGCAAGCAACTACTCGTGGCAATGCTGGTTCTGCTAGGGTATTTACAAATTTTAGAGCTGTTTCTCCATCGAAAATCAGTACACTGCAGCAAAAAGATCTGGCCCTAGCAACATGTCTCTTGCTGCTGAAGGTTTTGGAAATCTTCTAGTGGGCAGCTCTGCATGGTTGTTGTATTGGGTCCATCAGTGCCAAAGGAAGTAGCTGTAATTCTCGGATCTGTTTGTACATACCTACCACTATTTTTCATCAAGCAACGTAGTATTCTTCTTGGAAGTTTGTCTTCAATTGATAATAGTAATGCCTTCTTTCCCCTGTCATTGGAGCAGCTAGTTCAACCTACAGAGCTCTGGAATTATTTCAGGTTCTCCATCCTTATTACAGATATTCAAAAATTAATTTGGCTGGCACTATACTAGAAAAACATGAGCCCTTCATTTTCGAACTGTCATATAAAAAATCATTACTAAGATTCCCTAAACTTGAAGATAATGAGGCATATGAGGATAGCCTGTCTCTTCTCTCAGAAG